ATTATAGAGCACACAGAAAATGATTTGTCTTTTTTTTTAAATTGACTCAGAGTAACCACCTATTATATCAGGTACAAAGATTCAATCTTTATTTGATATCGCATTTTCTTTAAAAAATTTTAAAATAAAGTTTCAATTTATATTTTAAGATGTTTAAAATCTATTTTTAAATATAACAACTTGTTAGGATTAATAAGTAGCGAAATGACAATTTCCTGTATTGCCAAAATCTCCAGTTATTACAGAGCAGAATTCTGTGTGAGGTAAAATAAGTATTATAAGCATTTTAATATAAGGAGAACTGAATTCCACATTTAGGGAAGACATGAGACCAAAAAAAGAAAGAAAATCAAAAGACTTGATTTAAAGGTAGCTTGAGACCAGGCACAGTGGTGCACACCTGTTATTCTTGCTACTCAAGAGATTGAGGTGGGAGGATAGCTGGAGCCCAGGAGTTTGAGACTATCCCATTTCTCAATAAATTCAATAAATGTGGCTTGATAATTAAAAACTGTGATTTCCTTAAGAAACTAGAATCAATTAAACTAAAGCTCTCCACAAAGTCACACTGTGGGAAGCACACTAAGCTATTCCCAACAGCAGAATGACTCTCCATTCTACTTTCAGATGCAGGACAGGAGCAACCCAAATATTTTCCTGGATGGTTTACTGGGTTTCCAATCAACTGACCCACATTTCCCTTGTAAACAGCAAAGACCTCACCCAAGTCAACCACACAAAAAGCTGGATTTTCTCCTAAAACATGACCACACATGAAGTCAAAAGTATGGCACAGGTTGTATTGTCTCCTCATCATTTCTTGATTTGTTTTGTTACTGGAGACAGAGTCTGACTGTGTTGCCCAGGCTGAATGGAGTGCAGTGGCGCACTGATCTCAGCTCACTGTAACCTCTGCCTCCCAGATTCAAGCAATTCTCCTGCCTCAGCCTCCCAAGGAGCTGGGATTACAGGCACATGCCACCATGCCCAGCTAATTTTTGTATTTTTAGTAGAGACAGGGTTTCACCATGTTGGCCAGGTCAGTTTCAAACTCCTGACCTCAAGTGATCTGCCCACCTCAGCCTCCCAAAGTGCTGGGATTTCAGGTGTGAGCCATGGTGCCCAGCCTCCCCATCATTTCTAAAAGATTTCCATTGTACATGCATTTGGATATTTTACTTCTAATATACTTTTATATTCTCATATTTAGTTCTAATGCATGTTATCATCTAATTTTTAGTCATTCTGAACTATAACTCTAATAAAAGTCTCTCCTTAAAAGCAAAACCATAACATGAAAAGACCCATCTCATCCAAGCAGACCACCTGCTGCCTAATCAAGATACCACACTCACACTGAAGGCAACAGAGCTGATAATCGAGAGACACTACCATTTTAGGGGGAGTTTTCCCACTGCTAAGGATTCCCCTTCCCATGATGTTTTTGTTAGCACTACTTTCCTCATTGCTCTGCCAGGGTGTCTATTAGCAAGAATTTCTTGGCAGTTAACTTGCAATTTCCACACGCCAAAGAAAACTGAAGGAACCACAGGCAATGTCCAGCAGCCTGAGAATGTTGAGGTTGCCATCTACTATGGAGCAAATGAGTAACTGATTAGTAAATGTACGAGAAAGCCAAAGTCAGTCCATTCGAGCCACAAAGTAATTATATTGTGTTTTGGGCACAAACACTATTATTAACTATGGTTTAAGGGTTGGCAATAAAACTCCCAGTCTTTGTATGTTTCTATAAAAATCTGACTTCAGAAAAACTAGTTAGTAGTTTCTGGTTTACAAAGAATTTCACTATTTGTTCCTTAGTGTTTTAGTAAATGCCATTATAAAAATAGAGTAAGTTGTCCCCAAATAACTAAGGGGCATGTTTCAAAGGTTTTATAAATAACATTTATACATTATTTTACATTTTTAACTTCTTTCTTGCATACATTATCTCTTTTTAGCCATAAAGCAACACTATGAGATAAACAGGAGGGAATTTTTATCCACACTTAAACTGTCGAAGTTCCAAATAGATAATGAAGTAACCAAAACTTAAAACCCAAGTTTTCTGTGAAAGGAAAAAACTTTGTAACAAACTGCCCATGTATAACTTAGAGCTTGGAATTTTAAATCTATCTTCCCACAAAAATAATATAATACATGGTGGTTTGTAGTCTAGACAAACCCACAAAGACTTCTAACTCATAAAGCCTGGATTATCAAAAAGCATATATATTAGTTAAAAGTAGACTTTTGTGGATGGGCCTGAGCCCCTGATATACATAGATAACATCATTTATTTGGTAAGAAATATACCATATTCTAGAGACAAAAGATCCTGTTCATACGAAGAACTGGTCATCATTCCAGTGCATACTCCGGGGAAACAGCTGTTGCTTTCAGGGCAGGAATGAAATGCATGCCACAAACATATCCAGCCCCTTCATTCTTTCTGAACCCAATGGCCATTAGTCTCCTTACCAGTAGAGATATAAGAATATGGTGCATAAAGAAATACTATTTGCTCTCTGGGATTCTGGAAGTATCACGCGCTCTATCGCTAGTAGAAGCTATGTGTTCATATACATTAGATATTTGTGAGATATGTATAAATCAGAAGTGCCTGTAGCTGGAAGAATAAACAGACTCATCTCTTGTTCCAATTTAACTTACGCACTCCAACAAGAGTGATTCAGAGACTGGAACAAGGCTCAGAGGGAGAAATGTGGGTGAGTGAGGTCCACAGTGGGTACACGAGGGATGGTTATCCCTAAGAAGCCTTCCTTATTTATATCCAAATTAGAGAAAGTCATGAAATCAGAAATAAGTGATTGAATTTTTTAAATATATTCATTTCAGGTACTCAACAAATAGGGAATTAAAGAGAAAAACATTGAATCCTTGCTATTCTCCCTTTCTCTACTTAACAGGTATGAAAATTCTTCAGTAAAGGTTTCCCCAACAGCTGTGAAACTCACAAAGATGATTCTTCTCTACAGGCCAGTTGTAAAGGAAAATATAGGAAACACCTCTTCCTGATTCCTTTTCCCCCCTGGATTATGGAATAGAAAAGACTGCTTAATAAAATAGCAGAGACTTAATACATTCTAAGCATCACATCTCCCCAAAATATAATTCAGGTTCACTGCCTCCAGAAGACAGTTATAAGGGGTAGTGTGGTTTCTGAGACTGGCTAAACACCAGAATCACTTGAGATGTTTAAGAAAAAATTTAAACGAAAGATTCCTTGGCAGGATGCAAAGGCTGAAAAAGAAGAATTTGTGCTTTCACATCCCTCTGCAGAAAATTCTGATGGTCAGACAATTTCAAGAGTCCTGGATAGTTCATACTCATCCTCCAAGACTCTACTCTTGTCAAACACCTAGGAAGCCTTCCTGGACACCGTCTCCTCCCACACCCAGGTTAGACGCCTCCCTGCATACATCCTCACCACATGCACTTCCAGAGCAGCCTGTATGGCATTCATCTTATGAGATTAAAGCTGTTAACATATTGGCTCCCAGTGAAGCTGTGAGCTTCTCAAGGTTCCAGACTATCCTGTGTTTTAATACTCCCAATGTTTAGCACAATGCCTGGCTATCAATGTTCATCAAAGAAATGACTAATACATCAGAAACCAGATTCTATAACTAGTTCTTTCCCACTGTGTGAATTTAATTCACTTAACTTCTCTAAGTCAGTCTTCTTTTCTCAAAATGAAGAGACTAAAGTACATTATTTCTTATGCCACAGAGCCCTAGTCACGAAAAAACCATTTTAAACCATAGCAAGGCTTTATGTAAGGTTGCAAAACAGTCGAATGGCATACAGTATGCAGTCAATAAATATCTGACTATATTGATGCTTTTCCTTATTTTCCTCCCCACAAGTAACGTGGACAATAATCAAATCTTTAACATTTTCAGTGGTGGTAAACCCAAATATCATGGACAATATTGGTTTTACAATGACATAAAACAGATTTTTTGAATTTATTCATTCTACTAAAATAGAGATGGAGGTCTCGCTGTGTTGACCAGGCTGGTCTCAAACTCCTAGCCTGAAGTGATCCTCCCATCTCAGCCTCCCAAAGTGTTAAGATTACAGGCATGAGCCACCACATCTAGCCAAAACACAGATTTAGATATTTATGTAATTCCAGCAGCATTTCAATCAAGTAAGCATTGTTGCTCTAAAGTTTGTGAATGAAGCTCTCAAGGACTGAATTAATCCAATGCATGAAAATTTAACTAAAAGTTTACCTGTTTTCAATACTAGCCTGTACCATCTTGTTCATTGATGGACCCTCCCAATGCTTAGTAAAGTGCTTAGAGGATACCAAACAGCTAGTAAACATGTGTTAGATAAATGGGTACTGCTGAAATTAGCAGTGGCCCCACAATAATGAAGGGGATTATCTAGCCCAACTATTTTCAGAAGTACTTTACAAGCTAAAGAATGAGCTGGCTCAACATTTTGTGAGACATGTCAATATTATCTGTGATTATTTTAGCAATACCAATAGATATAGATAATTATTAAATAAAAAATGAAACTTGGCCAGGTATAATCACTCACATCTGTAATCCCAGCACTTTTGAAGGCCAAGGAGGAAGGATGACTTGAGCCCAGGAGTTCAAGACTAATCTGGGCAACATGGCAAGACCCCATCTCTACAAAAAAAATAAAAACTTAGCCAGGCATGGTGGCACATATGCCTGTGGTCCCAGCTACCTCCCACCAAGAGGCTGAAGTTGGAGGATTGCTTAAGACTGGGAGGGTCAAGGTTGCAGTGAACTGTGATCACACTACTACAATCCAGTGTGGATGATGGAGCAAGACCGTGTCTCAAAAACCTAGAATAAAAAATAAAAAATGAAATCAAAATCAAAACTCAAAAACATAAGTACTAAAAGTGAAATAACTTACAAAGAAAATATATATAATTAAATTTACTATTCATTGCTTCTAAATACATGTTTACTTAATAAAGTACTTACTTCCACAGTCATCCTGAATATCTACAGTAGCAAATGGCATGTCTACCAGGAAATCCATAGTACTGGCTTCAAATTCCTCTGATATTTTCTTTTTTCTTGATACATTTTCACACTCATTGGAATTAATTCCTCCTTTAACATATCACAAACAGAAAAAAGGATTATTTAACTTATTAAACTTATATCCTAAATGAAAATAATCAGCTAACTGAATTCAATATAAATTAACACCTGTTAAGAAATGTATCACCTGTGTTCAAATATATTGTAAAGTTATTTATATAAACATTATTTATGCCGCATTCTATATTTTTGTGCACACTTACAAAGCTTTAATCATTTCCTAAAACATAGTGTTCAACCTATGATTAGATGAAAACTGAGTCAATCAATAATCCTCAAGATCTGTTATACCTACATTTTAATTCTAAAACTACATTTTTTTCACATACCTTTTAAAAACAACCAACAAGGTTTTGTCAGTCATTCTCATTCTTATTTTTTGCAATATCACTTATGTGTTCTTATTTGTACAACTTCTGGTCTATAATTTTTTCTTCAGTAGACTTTCAAGTTATTTCCCTCCATCATTACATTTAACACTGGAAATTTAGTTAAAAATACATGGTTCTGGCTGGGTGCAGTGGCTCACACCTATAATCCCAGCACTTTGGGAGTCCAAGGCGGGTGGATCATGAGGTCAGGAGATTGAGACCATCCTGGCCAGCATGGTGAAACCCTGACTCTACTAAAAATACAAAAATTAGCCAGGCATGGTGGTGGGTGCCTATAATCCCAGCTACTCAGGAGGCTGAGGCAGGAGAATTGCCTTAACCTGGGAGGCAGAGGTTGCAGTGAGCCAAGATCACACACTGCACTCTAGCCTGGACAACAGACATGGTTCTAAATATGCTTTTCTGAAAATTCAATGATTAAGAAGCAAATGAGCTTACAGTTTCTCTAACTGCTCTCCCATGGTCATTTACTAACATTAAAGCCATATTTCCTATTTGGCCTTTTTTTGTTTTCTTGCTGTGGTTAGAACAATCATATACCTTAGGTGGAGGTAACAGAAAAAAATGTATGTTTAAATTGATAAAATTAATTGCTAAATTTATCAGATGGTGGTTTCCCCAGTGCCATTATAATCCATGCCTTTATGGACAGACACAAATACTGTCTGAACTAGTAAGTTTGATCAGAATCCTGGAATACTAATATAATTTTTACTCTCCATATTTACTAAAGACTAATTTACCACTCGAGATATTAAAGAAGTCCTTTAATTCATTCGGTTGTAATACTCTATTTTCAGATACAATACCTGTAAAACATATTCCATCAATAATATGGCTTACAACATAGCTATCATGATAGGCCATAGTTAACATATATGCCAACAAACCTAAATTTTTATTGCAACTTGATTCACCTCTACTATTGTACACACACACACACACCCCTGTTGTATTAGTCCATTTGCACTGCTATAAAGGAAAACCTGAGGCTGGGTAATTTCTAAACAAAAGAGGTTAATTTGGCTCCCAGTTCTGCAGGCTGTACACAAAGCATAGTGCCAGCATCTGCTTTGGTGAGAGCCTCAAGAAGCTTAAAATCATGATGCAAGGCAAAGGGGAGCCGATATGTCACACGTCAGGAGATAGAGGGAGCGGCAGAGAAGCCAGCCCCTTTTAAGCAACCAGATCTCACACATGAACTCATTACTGCAGGGAGTGCCCCAAGGCATTCATGAGAGATCTGCCCCCATGACCCAAACACCTCCCACCAAGCCTCACCTCCAACATTGGGGATTACATCTCAACATGAGATTTGGAGGAGACAAACATAAAAATTCTATCGTTCTGCCCCTGGCCACCTAAATCTCACTGCTAAATATAAACATCCCTTCCCAAATAGTCCCCCAAGGTCAACTCATTCCAGCATTAACTCCAAAATCCAAAGTCTCACTTGAGACTCAAGGTAAGTTTCTTCCACCTATGAGCCTGTAAAATCAAAAGAAGTTATTCACCCCCAAGATACAAAGGTGGTACAGGTACTGTGTAAACACTCCCATTCCAAATGAGAGAAATCCAAAAGAAAGGGGCAACAGGTTCCACATAAGTTGAAAACCTAGCAGGAGAGACAATAAACCTTAAAGCTCCAAAGCTCTCCTTCAATTCCATGTCCCACATCCAGCGCACACTGGAGCAAGGCATGGGCTCCCAAGGCCTTAGGCAGTTCTGACCCTGTGTCTTTGCAATATGAAGCCCCTGTGGCTGCTCTCACAGGTTGGAATTGAATGCCTGCTGCTTTTCTAAGCTCAGGGTGTAAGCTACCAGTGGCTGTATCATTCTTGGGTCTGTGGGACCTAAGCCCCCTTCCCACAGCTCCACTAGGGGGTGTCCTTGTGGGGACTCTGTGTGGGGGCTCCAACCCCATATTTCCCTCCATCATCATCCTAGGAGAGTTTCTCTGTGAGGGCTCCACTGCTGCAGCAGGCTTCTGCCTGGGCACCCAGGCTTTCCCGTACATCATCTGAAATCTAGGTGGAAGCTGCCACACCTCCTTCATTCTTGCATTCTGCGCACCTGCAGGCTTAACACCACATGAAAGCCCCCAGGCTTACTTACAGTGGCTTGGGCATTCCAAAGTGACCAGAGCTGTAGTTGGGCCTTTTGAGCCACAGCTGGCGGTGAAGAAACTGGATGTGGAGAGCAGTGTCCCAAGGCTGTACAGAGTAGCATGGCACTGCGCTTGACCCCTAAAATCATTCCAGACCTCCAGGTCTATGATGGGAGGGGCTGCCCCGGAGATTTCTGAAATGCCTTCGAGGCCTTTTTCCCATTGTCTTGGCTATTAGGAATTGCCTCCCTTTTAGTCATCCTAATATCTCTAGCAAGTGGTTGCTTCATAGCCCACTAAAATTTCTCGCCTGAAAATGCTTTTTTCTTTACCACAAGCCTAAGTGGCAAATTTTCCAAATTTTTAGCCTTTGCTTCCCTTTTAATTATAAGGAAAGCAACCTTAAGTAATTCCTTTGCTGCCATATCTGATCGTAGGTCATTAGAAACTGCCATGCCACTTCATGAATGATTTGCTGTTCAAAAATTTCTTCCCACTGCACTCCAGCCTGTGTGACAGAGACACTGTTGCCAAAAGAAAAAAAAAAAAAGAAAAAGAGAAAGAAAGAAATTTCTTCCATCAGATACTGTAAGTCATCACTTTTTTTTTTGAGATGGAGTCGTGCACTGGCACAATCTCAGCTCACTGCAATGTCTGCATCCCCAGTTCAAGTGATTCTCCTGCCTCAACCTCCCGAGTAGCTGGGACTACAGGCATGTTCCACCATGACCAGCTAATTTTTTGTATTTTTAGTAGAGACAGGGTTTCACCATGTTGGCCAGGATGGTCTCGAGCTCTTGACCTTATGATCTACCCACCTGGGCCTCCCAAAGTGCTGGGATTACAGGCATGAGCCACCGAGGCCAGCCCAGTCATCACCTTTAAGTTCAAACTTCCACAGATCCCTAGGGCATGGACACAATGCAGCCAAATTCTTTGCTAGGGCATAACACAGAGACATTAACTGCAGTTCCCAATAACTTTCTCATATCCATTTCAGACCTTGTCAGGCTGGCCTTCACTGTCCATATTTCTATCAGCATTTTGGTCACAACCACTTAACCAGTCTCTATGTAAAGTTCCAAACTTTCCCTCAACTTCCTGTCTTCTTCTGAGTCCTCCAAACTCTCCCGACCTTTGCCCATTACCCAGTTCCAAAGCCACTTCCACATTTTCAGGTATCTTTATAGCAACACCCTACTCTTTAGTACCAATTTTCTGTCTCAGTCCATTTGTATTGCTGTAAAGGAATACCTGAGGCTGGGTAATTACTAAAAAAGAAGTTTATTTGGCCTACAGTTCTGCAGGCTTTACGCAAAGCACACTGCTAGCCTCTGCCTCTGGTAAGGGCCTCAGGAAGGTTACAATCATTGTGGAAGGCAAAGGGAAGCCAATGTGTCACATGGTTGAGAAAAAAAACAAGACAGGTAGAGGTGGCAGCCTCTCTTAATCAACTAGATTTCTTCCGAACTCATCACAGGGAGGGCACCAAGCCATTCATGAGGGATCCACCCCCATGACCCAAACACCTCCCACTAAGCCTCACCTCCAACACTGGGGATTACATCTCAACATGAGATTTAGAGGGAACAAATATCCAAACTATATTCTGGATAAAAGCAAAACACAACAAAGCCTTTTTTTTTTTTTTTTTTGAGATGGAGTCTTGCTCTGTTGCCCAGGCTGGAGTGCAGTGGCATGATCTCGGCTCACAGGAACCTCTGCTTCCCAGGTTCAAGCAATTCTTCTGCCTCAGCCTCTTGAGTAGCTGGGACTACAGGCATGTGCCACCACTCCTGGCTTTCTGCCTCAGCCTCTTGAGTAGCTGGGACTACAGGCATGTGCCACCACGCCCGGCTAATTTTTGTATTTTTGGTAGAGACAGGGTTTCACCATATGGCCAGGCTGGTCTCGAATTCCTGACCTCGTGATCCACCCACCTTAGCCTCCCATAGTGCTGGGATTACAGGTGTGAGCCACCACACCTGGCCACAAAGCCTTTTTTAAATTGATTAAGTTCAATGCCGAAAAAAAAACCCTAATAGTACATTCTTAATAATGTTACTATTTACAGTTCAAACTTTAGCAATTATGAATGTCTGGTACACAGGTGTTCAACAAATGTTAGTTCACTAGGAGTCTTCATAAACTTGGCCAATTATTTGAAAAATGTGAGAACAAGTTAAATGCCTCTTTTCTATTTTTATGCTTGTGTTTTAAAAACAGAAATGCAGTTTAGGCCTAAATAAAAGTTTTCATAGATCAATACACATCCTGTACCTTTGGGCACATGCAGCTACACATAAAGTATCACCACTGACCATGCATGCTACACTTGAAAAGCTAGCAATAAAACAGTATTCATGCAACTAAATACAAACCAGGCTGAATGAAAATCAGAACAAAACAATCTCAGCTCACTGCAATGTCAGCCTCCCCGGTTCAAGTGATTCTCCTGCCTCAGCCTCCCGAGTAGCCGGGACTACATGAAATAAACCCAACTGCTGTTTTTCCCCTATTTTATTCTCAATCTAAGGACTTACCGATATAAAATTGACCTATTTAACACCATCATCTCACCACTAGCTTCCAAGTTCTTGCACTTCTTGGAAATATACAGATTCTTAGCAATAAGTGAAGTAGAGGAAACTTAATTTGGGGCTTCAACACATTTTGAAGGCAAGAGGAAGAATACAATCATGAATTACACTGTCAATTTTTAAATAAGAAAAATTTGTGATCTCGCTTAAATTTAGTTTCTCTCGAGCTCAATTAATCATCAACTATTACAGAGCAAGTGTTATGGAGGTCATTCTGGCTATACCAAAGAAAGAATCACACAGTAACAATGGTAATAATACTAACTGCACATTAGAATCACCTGCAGAGCTTTTAAAACTAATCGCTAGAACTCCACTCCAATCGTATGCCACTCCAGCCAATTAAATCAAAATCTCTGGAGATCAGGCCAACCTCTGGTATTTTTTTTCAACCTCCTCAGAGTAATTCCAATGTGCATGAGTAGTGTTCCAATTGAAAACCACTACTCCAGAAGATCCCCTTTCGCTTCTTCTGTACCTTGACCGCACACCAGACTAAGAGATTGTGTGAACAGGTGAGAACAATCAATTCAAAGTAAAACCTTAGATCAGACCTCCACTGTCAGGGAAAACTTTGCAGAGCCCCAGCTCAGGGCTGACAGGTAATCCAACCTTCCAGGCACCTAGTGCTTCCTCCAATCACTGCATGTATACATTATGCTATATATGTCCACTTGTCTGTCTTCTCCATTAGATTCCAAGGTAAAGTGACCACACAATTCACCAAACCAGGAAACTTTTGAAAGTGAAAGGGCAACTTTCTATATCTGCACTCCATCACGTACAGTTACCATAGTCGAAGTTCCTTAAAATCTTATTCTCCTTTGATTCCTCCATGCCTAGCACTGAGTTCAGCTCACAGTAGGTGCTCAATGAATTTTTACCAAATGAATAAATGTGATAAAGGTAAGTCCATATTTGAGAGTGGTCAGTAAGTCACTCACACTACAATGCAATACAGCTATCTCACCACCCACAAAAAATAATTCCTAGTATTCAGTGGCAGCCTCAGCATATCACAGATTCTCTCATTTTCACCAGATGAATGAAGGAAAAGTACTAGTATCCCATTTGACATGAAAATAAAAATTAATGCAAATTATGACTTGTTCAACATCATTCTCTACCTTGTTAAATAAAGTATATTAAACTCAAATGCAATGTTATGTCAAAATCCACAGGAGTCTAGAACTTGAAATACAAACAACTATTTTCTCTTAAGCTATAGAATAATGGAAATTATTAACGCAACAATTTTTGAGATAGGAATTATTAAATAAAAAAAAAAAGGAGTGCCACTTTCAAGTAAGTCTTGAAAGAACTGCTGGTCATTCTATAGAACAATGTTTCTCAAATCAAATACTTAGAATACTTCCTCCAGTTCTCTAAGCTCTAGTGTTTGGGCAAAGGTTGATAGTTGTGAATTAAATACATCAGTCATAACTACACTTTCTCTTATAGAAGGTATAAATATTTTGCTTTTGGCAAACTGCCTTAAAACAACCAACTCTTAAATAAAGCATTTAAATTCTTTAGGTTGAGTACTTAAGTCTCCTATAATTTGTTCTAACCATAGTTAAAATTCTATCTTTTGTATATAAATCCAAATAAAAGTTATGCTACCAACTGCATCAATAACATAAAGATGAGGTGAAGCTGGTAAACTATTGTCTATTACTACTACTACCAACAGCTAACACTTAAGTGAGTGCTTGAGGCCAGGCACAGCTGGAAGCACTGGGAGTAACTCATTTCATCCACACAACCACACTATGGAGAGGTACTATTTCAATGCTCATTTTACAGACAAGCTGATTAAGTACTTGCTCAAGGGTAAAACCAGTAGGTCTTGGGACTGGAACTAGAATCCAGTCACTTTGTGACCAGTATGCCCTTTCTGGCACCAAGCACTGCCACCTTATTATACACTGACTATAGCAATGTAAGCTAAGGCAATCCTTTCAGAAAGCAATCTGGCAATAGATCAGAAGCCACAAAAACACTCTTCTGATGTTCTTCATTGCTTTCTGGTTATCTATCAACCATGCTCAAAGATTCACCACAGCTTTGTTTAAACAAAAAAGAACAAATAGAACAAAAATGCCTAGTAATAGGAAAATGGTACAATAGCCAAGATTGGGAAGCAACTTAAGTGCTGGATAACTTCGGTCATCCAATGGAAAAATAAAATGTGGTACATATATACAATGGAGTACTATTCAGCCATACAAAAGAATAAGATCCTGTCATTTGCAACATGGATGAAACTGGAGATCCTTATGTTAAATAAGTCAGGCGTAGAAAGACAAACTTCATATGTTCTCACTTATTTGTGGAACATGTGAACTCAGCCGGGTACAGGGGCTCACACCTATAACCCAAGCACTTTGGGAGGCCGAGGTGGGCAGATCACGAGGTCAGGAGTTCGAGACCTGCCTGGCCAACGTGATGAAACCCCATCTCTCCTAAAAATACAAAAAATTAGCCGAGCATGGTGGCATATGCCTGTAATCCAGCTACTCTGGAGGCAGAGGCAGGAGAATTGCTTGAACCCTGGAGGCGGAGTTTGTGGTGAGCGGAGATCACAGCACTGCACTCCAGCCTGGGCAACAGAGCAAGACTCCATCTCAGAAAAAAAAAAAAAAATTGAACTCATGGAGATAGAGATTAGAATAATGGTTACCAGAGGCTGGGGAGAGTGGTAGAATGGGTGAGGGGATGTATGGCTGATTATTGGGTACAATAAAATAGTTAGAAAATATGAAAAAGAATGGGAAATGGTTAAACCAAGCATGCTCATGTCAATGACAACTAAGAAAAATGACTATAAAGAATACAGTGACAGAAAAAGCAGCTGACAACAAATAGTGACATTTTAGAAAGCAGATATAAACTGCTTTTGCTCTATGATTTACAATTAGGTAGGCAAAGGCTAAATAGTATAAACTGCTTGTAAATGCTGACAGATATGCTGCATATGTTCATATGTTTCTCATTTCTGCTATTCAAACGTTTCAAAATTGAATATTACCTTCATAAGAAAAACAATACATACATTTTAAGTGTATTATAAAACCACATCTTTAAATATATGCTAATATTCAAATATAGGTGAAGCAAATGACTTCATCAAAAATAGGCCAACAGACGGACAAAAGGGTATGGGCAGTTCGCCCACTGTCACACAAAATGCAAGTTTCCTAGCTGAACAATGAATGACTACTCAATTTTCTTAAGTTTCTCATCACTCTACTAGGTAAATAGTAAATTTATCCCAGCTGAGCAAGTTGGCTCACACTTGTAATCCCAGCACTCTGAGATTCCTTGGGCCCAGGAGGAGGTCAAGACCAGCCTGGGTGACATGGCAAGACCCCATCTCTACAAAAAAAATACAAAAACTGGTAAGGCATGTTGGCATGGACCTGTAGTCCCAGGCACTTGGGGAGACTGAAACAGGAGGTCGGCATGATCTCAGCAGGTCGAGGCTTCAGTGAGCCATGATCGCACCACTGCACTTCAACCTGGGCAGCATAGCAAGACCCTGTTTCAAAATAATTAAATAAGTTTATTCCTAAGAACCATGAGAAAGGGCCAAGAGCATCCATTCTAATCCTGGCTTAGCTACCAAAAATAGTAAGCATCTTACACGTGAGTAAATGTTGACAGCTGCGTAGAAATCAACAAGTCACTTGACCTCCAGGCTTTCCTTTCCTCCTCACAAAAAGGGAATAAGAGTACAATCCAAATTATTAGGGAGAAATAGACAAAATAAGTTAATAATGTCTGAAAAAGAATGAAAGGAGGAAGTAACCTCCACAAACACCTTAAACTTTGTAAATATGAGTAAGGAAAATACAAAGATATGCAAACAGGATCCTGAATTGCAAGGTCATGGCAATTAAACAAGGAACTGAGATATGACTCTCTTCTCCTTTAACAAATTCCATTCCCACACAGTTCCTAAATGCATCTCAAAACCTCTGTCATCACTCCATTCACTTAACAACTGTAAACATTTACACGAGTTAACGGCTATATATATAGCACACTTTAACGTTTTTATGCTTGTTATACTCTTGTACGAATTTGTCCTATGCAAATCTTGAAGAGGAGCACCTCTTCTCTAACTGGTTTGCAGTTCTTTTTACCGAAAGTCCAACTCTAACTCGCTCTACTCACAAAGTCCAATTCACAGCGAACGCTGACCTAAACTGGAAATTCATTCCCGGCACTAAGACAGACTTGGCGCCAGTTTTAAAAGTGATTATGGCCAAACCTATCAGAAAATCCTAAAGGAGACAGTATGGTGGTTCAGGTGCTTAATATTTGTGATATAAGATAAAATCGAGATTTTACTAGGTTTTGTTTACAATACATTTACCCACATCAGCCCCGTCGGAAGGAAGGTGTGTTGGCGTGAACTTTGCGCAAAGGGTCAAAGGATAAGAAAAAGAGAAAGAAAAGTGAAACTCGGGGATGGGCTCACAACCCCGCCCCCTGTCGGACCCACAATATGTGCATTAAAACGCTTAGCTACAGGCAGCACTGATGTACATCCTGGTTGCACCGGGCTTCTCGGTGCTACCCTGAGTCCTTTTTGGAGGGAGGGAGACTCGGAGCAGGGGCGGCGCGGGTCAGGCCCTCCCAGAAGTCGAGTTCAAGCGGGCCCAAGTCCCCGCAGCTCCAGTCGCCCCCGCCCCGACCCGCTGGGCAGCCCGTCTCACCCGCTCCGGGGCGCTCCATGGTCGCAGCGCAAGCGGGCGGCGCGTCTGGGATAACCGCAGCACCAGCGATGGTAGGGGTGGCAGTCCGTAGCCCGGGACTGGAGGCGAGGCCGAGGCGGAGGCCGGGGCGGGGCCCGGGGACGGAGGGCGGCGCTCGGGGCCGGGGCGGGGTCCAGAGACCGGTGGCGGGGTGCCGGGCCGCGGAGGCCAGGCCTGCGGAAGCGCGGAGCTTCCCGAGCCGCAGCCCCCGCGGCAGCAGCAGGCGCAGCAGCCTCATGCCAAGGCGGACGCCGGAACCAGCCGGAAGGGGCCGACCGAGTCGCCGGTGGTATCCGGATTCCGGCGAGCGGCGCCGCCGCGCTCGGGCAGGGCGGGAGAAACCAAGGCCGACAACCGCGGCGCCGCGGCAGCCCGAGTCCTCTTGACTCTGCAGTGCGACGCTGGGTCGCCTGCCTCCCGAACCCCGCTGTCTCCGACGGCCTTTGGCAGCCCTCATTTATTTCCTGTGGCGCGGCCTTTCCCGTCCCGTGCTTTCAGGGGCGAGACTGGGACTAGGATGAAGGAATTCTCTGACCCGGTGTCTCCTGAGAACGCATGTGCTTAATTGTGTAATCAGGGTTCTAATGGCAGGGTATTTGGGGAGAGGGAAATGTACAAGAACGAGACCTTGTACTTCTGTGTGATGAGATACTTTATTTACCTTACCTTTAAAAAATGCAAATCGTGACAAAGTTTCTAATTTTGAACAACGATGTTATGCCTAGACATTAACTAGTTTATGTAGTATATGGTACTGCTATGAGTAAATTGGAAGAAAAAGCAATTTACTTAGTTTAAAAAGATAAAAACCTTTTCACTTGAAACAGAATGCTATTGGGATTGGTTTGTTTTCCTGGAAAGAAACCAGGGGACAGGAACATGAGGTTCATCCATCCACAAATTAGCACCTTTTGTGAATAATAATACTTATGTTGAATGCATCCTAGGATGGGATTGAAGAAAAAAAGACCCTTACACAGCCACAATAGCTGGTGTAAAGACTGCACACTAGAAGTCAGCAAACTAGTTACTCTGATTTTCAAATAATTCTAACAAGTTGAGTATCTGATGCCCATACCCAAAGTATTTATGGGCTGGTAGAAAAGGACAACTGGTTCACCTAATATTTATTTAATGCCTGAGCTCTGTGCTGAGGATGTGCAGGTAAGACAGGTCTTTTACTTAAGACCTTTTACTAAAGACTGATCATATAATAGCAGAACGGCCTCTGCCCTCACACACATCGCCTGCCTGCTAATTTACCTGGCCGCAGTGGATTCTCTCAGTCTTCATGGTGACATTTCTTGCAAATGAAAAGAACTCAATAAGTAACAATAAAAGCTGCAAAAATGTGGTCCACATTCATAGTGAAGAGGATTTGGATATGCCACCCAAATATGCCACTTCAGCATAAGGATTATTTTTGAGCTGAAAACAGTTGAGAAACTAAAGACTCAGGAACAACTCTGTCCTCCCCCTTTCTGCCTAAAAGCAGGACATAAATTTCCCTTCGTAAAGGTAACAAAAACTTTCATTTTTAAAGCTTTACTGGGCCAGGCATGGTGGCTCACGCCTGTAATGACCACACTTTCGAAGGCAGAGGCAGGTGGATCAACTGAGTCCAGGAGTTTGAGACCAGCATGGACAACATAGCAAAACCCTGTCTCTACCAAAAATACAAAAATTAACCGGGTGTGGTGGCCCACGCCTATAATCCCAGCTACTCCGGAGGCTGAGGTGAGAGGATCATTTGAGCCTAGGAGGTGGAGGTTGCAGTGAGTGGAGATGATGCCACTGCACTCTAGCCTAGAGCTAGATCCTGTCTCAAACAAACCAACCAGCCAACAAACAAAAAAGCTTTACCACTCACCCATACCAGAAAGAAGAGAATGAGTCTTACCTGCATAACAAACCCATACATTTTCTAGTAACCTTCCCATACCACAAAAAGGCTAAGCCCTCTTTTCCTTTGTCTAGTCTCGTCACACTTCATTAAAATGGTATAGAAACTCCAGTCCTACATGTACACGAATGTTCATTGCAGCACTGTTTACAATAGCAAAGACCTGGAATCAACCCAAATGCCCATTGATAATAGACTGGATTGGAAAAATGTGGCACATATACACCATGGAATATTATGCAGCAATCAGAAATGATGAGTTTGTGTCGTTTGTAGGGACATGGATGAATCTGGAGAACATCATCCTCAGCAAACTGACACAAGAACAGAAAATGAAACACCGCATATTCTCACTCATAGGTGGGTGATGAAAAATGAGAACACATGGACATAGAAAGGGGAGTACTAAACACTGGGGTCTATTGGGGGGAAAAGGGGAGGGCCAGTGGGAGGGGGAGGTGGGGAGGGATAGCCTGGGGAGAAATGCCAAATGTGGGTGAAGGGGAGAAGAAAAGCAAAGCACACTGCCATGTGTGTACCTACGCAACTGTCTTGCATGCTCTGCTCATGTACCCCAAAACCTAAAATCCAATAAAAAATTTAAAAAAAAAAAAAAGTAGAAGAGTTATGGCGGAAATGAAAATACATGTGTAAAAACTAAAAAAAAAAAAAAAAAAAAAAAGAAACTCCAGTCCTAAAAACCTCTTTGGGCTTTCAGTTCTTGCCTGTGAAGCATGTATGTACTTGTATAATAAACCTTTTCTCCTCTTAATCTGTCTTTTGTCAATTTGATTCACACAATGCGACCTACTGAACTAAACGAGCAGGAGAAAGAGTTGCCTTCCCCTACAGTATATACCAACAGATATATGAAAGTTTCATTATCTTGCCTAAGAAGAGGTATCATCCCAAATGCCACATATTTTTCACCACCAGTATTATGAATGTAGAGTCATCCAACACCTCCCATGTGAGGGAACATTTGAATTACCCAAGTCTGAAAAAGAAATTTTCACAGAGCTTCTTCCAGAAATGACAGGGAGAAAGGGAAGTACAAGGTGAACTTTGAACCTCTTCTTGTGCCAAAAAGCAAAGACAAATGGGGACTATCAAAAACACAAGGACTAGCTTGAAACAGCTCTCTTTGAGCAAATGGGAGACAATCTGACATCATAAAAGAATAACAACTATAATTATAACATACTGAATACAAAATCTGTAAGTCCATAATGATACTCAAAATAGGAGGAAGAGGGCCGGACACGATGGCTCACACCTGTAATCCCAACACTTTGGGAGGCCGAAGCTGGTGGATCACCTGAGGTCAGGAGTTCAAAACCACCCTAGTCAATGTGGTAAAACCTTGTATCTATTAAAAATACAAAAATTAGCTGGGTGTGGTGGCGGGTGCCTATAATCCCAGCTATTCTGGAGGCTGAGGCAAGAGAATCACTTGAACCTGGGAGATGGCGGTTGCAGTGAGCGGATATCAAGCCACTGCACTCTAGCCCAGGTGACAGAGCAAGACTCTGTCTCAAAAAAAAAAGAGAAAGAAAAACTAGTAGGCCACCATTAGAAGTGACAAGTACACAACTCCTTAGTCTCCTTACTCTAAAAATTAAAGGGAAAGAAGCATTTACCATGACTTTTTAGAAGTAGTAGTATGGGAAAGCTGCTTTGCACAGAAGAATATCCAATAATAAATATAGGAAACATGAAATAATTGGAAAATTACCATTTTGCCACCACAACTAATAACTGATTGATGCAAAGATCATCAACATATTCTAAAGCCATTATGTGAAAGGTTAATATGGACTGAGATATTTATAAGTTGCCAAAATACTACCCCCCACAAAATACTTGCTAATTGCTGAGGAGAGAACATATTTTTACCCCATGTAAACAAACCTGGTTGTTACTACATTTATCATGATTAAATTCAGCATCATAATGGTGGACAATCTGTGCCTTCTCTGAAAGCTATAGCATCACTGCAAGGTAATCTGGCCATAAATGTTTTACCTGAACTGTTAAGGCTTTAAATATAATTTTCAGATTTCCAGAAATACATGAGCTAGAGGAACAGGTAAAATCATGTGATAAGGAAAGAATTAGAACAATCCAGAATGTGTGACATTCTAGAAAATTATTGGCTCAGGCTTTTCAAAATCTTGGTGGGGAGTTGTGGTATAGGAACAGTGTGGTGGCTTAAAACAACCCTTCCAATCCAGTGTTTTGGCAGTGTGCCAGTGTATATTGTCCCCTGGGGAGAAAAGGGCTGTGTACTAATAATCAGGGAGGAATGGGCACAACATAGGGAGAGGGAAGTATGGACCAGACGATCAATGCCCTCATGAGTCATGCTCCTGAAGAGGCTGAACCTTAGCTAAAGCATTGGGCAACCTGGTTCTTTTTTGCTTTCGTAAAACAAATTAATATCTATGAATTTATCTATTTAATTGATTTTAACATTTGCTGGTTCTGTCAAGAACCAAAACTCCTAAAGGGATGTTTATGATTTTTTAGCTTCTATAACAGTTTGCAGATTATCTCTAATCGTAACTCATTCTCAGCACCATTTAGCAGTCATTAAATAGGATTTGTTCCTCACATCAGCAAACTGAACTGCTTCACTGCTGTCATAGGAGGCCGTAGCTATGGTGAAGATCAGTGGGGAACTGTCAGTGACCTTCTTTGGAGAACAGTCCCTGACCTCACCCTTCTACTTGGGTTTGGTACTGTACTTGAAGGCTTTAATACTCCTTGTGCCAGCTCTGACCATCCCTTTTACCACATTTTTCTGTTTCCTGCATTAGACTTTAAGCCACTGGAAGGCAAAGACTGTGTTTTACAGTCTTTGTATTCCCAAATGCATAGAGATTGCTCAATGAATAGCCGTTTAATGAATTAATTAAACTTTTACAAGCATCAGATCTGTCCATTAAGTACTCAGATTTGTCAAAAAATAAAGTAGCACTCCCAAATAAATTTCAAAAAAATAGAAAGAAAAAGAGAAACAATATCATGGGTAATCTTAATGTCCTAATGTTTTGTAGGCAAACAGCCTGTTGCATGGCAAGAGTGGCGCCATCTTGAAGCAAAACCTCCATGATGACCAATGATATCTGGCTCTTCCATACAAAGGTGTTCTGCAGCGAGGTTTTTAAACAATGCGTGTAGCCTAGGCAACCCCTCATGAAGATGCTTATCTAACTTCTCCAGTGGTCATAAGTTTGAGATGGGACCTGCTGTCCAAGTCTTTACCCTAAAAAGCTTGCTAAATAAAGAATACTTTCTGGAGGGTGGATGCGAGGTTGTATCATATCATGGCCTCTGGAGAGTCACTTTGGTTTATAAGTCCCTGTTAAACATTTCTTTCTTAGAAACTGAATTTGTCAGTCACTTTATTCAGGCTCGAAGCTCCCACAGCCTTTCGGGATAGGTTTTCATATATCTGTTCACACCCAAACAAGCTTCTTCAGCCTGAGGCTAAAAATTAGCTAATATTAATGTCTAAAA